ATGAAGAGACAGCGCCCACAGCTGTGTCTTTCTTTTATAGCAGATGCCACAAGGCAAAGTAGGGGCGTGATCAATTGTTTACAGCATTCTCGTGAGTTTCAACCTCACTTAGCTACATGCACCCGAACTCTATCACAAGGCAGGTCTGGCTACGTGTTCGGGCCATAGGTTCAAGCTCACAACCACAGCCGTTGGCTATGATTGTGCTGGGAGGGCCCTGCCCTCCAGCTGGGACTTGCACGTGGCAATGAGAGGACCCTGTCTTTTCATTAGTCCGAGGCTTGAACCTGGCCAAAACACCGTCACCGCGCCCCACAAGAGAGACCCATCGATTGGTTGTGTCTTGCACCAGCGCCGATCACGACCCTGGCTGGGGAGGAGCCTGAAACCAAGGTATATGCCCTTAACCAGAATCAAACCCAGGACCCTTTGGTCTGCTGGCTCAACCATTATCCACTGAGCGGCTAGGGCTCCTTAAGACTTTTTATAGAGTAAATAAAATGTCCCCTTAGATAATGTTCAGACTTTTTGTTAGAAATTCATACTATGTATAGAAATCAAAGTATAATAAGTGAAAAACAGTACATACTTAGTAGGTGAGTTAGGAAAGCCTTCTATTAGATTCATACCCCAATATCAGGGTTGGGTTCAGGCTCAAAGACAGGACTGGAATTCATCCTGACAAGTTCCCACAAGCTGCTCAGAGTCACGGTATCAGCTCTAGACCACCCCTGAGAGGGGCTGAGGGCAACAAAAGTGGCCACAGTGGAGGACCCAAGGCACAGTCCATCCTTGGCTCCTGCTCCTGCCCCTCAAGGCTAGTTCCTGGTCCCACCCTTCGAAGATGCCACCAGGGAGCTGGGACGTGCTGGAGCCAAGCCCCTGACCTGGCCTCAGGAATGAGGGTGGAGGTAGAGTGCCAGCATTTGGGTTTAGCTGCCTCCGGGGTTCCAGATAAGAGCAAATGCAGGTAAGGTAACCCCAGAGCTGGGGTCACTGAACTCCAGGACCCTGAGAGTTGGAATGAGGCGGGTGTGCTATAAGAGGGCCACTCTGCACAGGGCTGGACACCATTGAATCCCAACCCAGACTGAAGACCAGACCAGACCAGACCAGACCCCCTGCAGGTGAGAGGAAATCCCATGTGGGGAGGGGCAGGTGCATCTGGAGGGACAACTCACTCTTGCTCTTGAGGGCAGAGCAGTAGATGCCCAATATCTGGTTGTGAGAAGGAGGGGCTGGAGGTCTGCAGTTTTGGGTGTTTTACCTGAAAGGAACATGGGACATAGAATTAAAATGGGGAGGGACAGAAAGCCCGATCATTAGGTGCTCTGCATGGAAGGCTGTCCCTGGCTTGGACTTGTGGGTCTAGGGAGCAGGTAGGTGGAGACTGGGGCTCCTGGGCCTGAGGGAGGAGGTGGAGGCTCCTGAGTTTGAGAAGGAACTGGAGACCAGGAGTCCTGGTTCCTGAACTCTCTGTCTTTCCACCCCCAGCACAGGAGGCCCTTCCTCGGTGGCAGCCACAGAGGCTCAGACCGGACTCATGGCAGGTCCCCTAGTCCAGCCCCTGCTGCTCCTACTGCTGTCCTTTGCCCTGGGATCTGCTGGACAAGAAGGTGAGGACCAGCCTGGGAGTCCTGACCTTACCCCTGGGCCTCACAGTCCCCCACCTCCCCTCTCCAGGTCCCCTCTCTCCAAGGAGCCCCTGAGTCAGGACCCTCCCCTGCAGCAGCCTCCTCCCATGGAGACACGGCCCCTGGGCTGTGGCCCCTTTCTTCCTGCTCCCTCCTGACTCCTGGGCTCTGGGTGCCCTCCAGGCTGCTTCCCGCCCTCAGTGTCTCTCCCAACAGAAGCTGGGGCTACCTCCAGACCAGCTGCTGCCCTGAGTTTCTGAGCAGCCTCCCTCCGTCTCTCTCCATCTCCGTCTACAGCTGTCTCTGCCCTGGGCACCGTGTCCGCCTCTGCCCTTCTCCACGCCTCTCTGTCTGTCTCTCTCTCCATCACTGTCTCTGGGAATCCATCTACTGTGGCCTCAGCCTTCCCCTGAGGCCTGCTACCCACACTTTTTCCAGGTCTCCATCCAGCCCAGGATACCGGGGAGAGGATCATTAATGGAATTGTATGTCCTGGAGGCTCCCATCCCTGGCAGGTGGCCCTGTATGACAACAATGAGGTTCATATGTGCAGGCGTGCTGGTCAACCAGCAGTGGGTGCTCACCGTTGCCCACTGCCACCAGAGGTATGGGAAAGGGGAGCCAGCGCCACTCCATGTCCCTCTCTGGGTCCTTCTCTCTCTCTCTCTCTCTCTCTCTCTCTCTCTCTCTCTGTCACACATTCCCGGCTTCTTGTCCTCTTAATCACAGTGTCTCCCTCTGAAACATTAACTCTTTTTTTTTTAA